CCTCCTCCTCCTCCTCCTCCTCCTCCTCCTCCTCCTCCTCCTCCTTCCTTCATTATTATTATTATTATTATTATTATTATTATTATTATTATTATTATTTTACCAATAGCCAGCACTGAAAGATCCCCAAAATAGAGAGTGCCGTTTCTTTTTTTTAATCTTACCTATCCCTTCAAAAAAGCAACCCAGAAGTGTTGCAAAAAAATAAATAAAATGAAAATGGTGTTACAAAATGAGGAAAATTGTTCAATAAAAGTATTTTTTTTATTAAAAAAAAAAGCAACTCAGAACACAGCAAAAACAAAACATTTTTCCTTTGAATGTATGTTTTTTTTTTATTATACTTAACATCTTTCAGTAAAAATTTCTTTAAGAAAAAAAAAATAGTGTAGCCTGCTAGCCAGACACGTCCATCATTTTCAGAGCAACTCTTCCTGGGTTTAAAGGCAATTTCCACTATGGATCACGTCTGTGCCGTGTTCTGCTTTTTATTTCCCAGTTTTCCCAGACAGCAATGCGAACACAACATTTCAGTGCTCTGCATAACTCCACACACGCATACACACACACACACGCACACTGGTGACTGATAATGCCATAAAAAATTATGCAAAATCTTTCAAACAGTTGCACTCTGTTATTCCGGAGGAGGAACACTCTGTAAAGTTGTTTTATTTGCATATCTGATTTCTTCTTCTGCAGGAAGTCCTTGACACGACGACAGTTCATTTAATTCAAAGTTACAATGGCACCGAAGAAAGTGACTTTATGACCCGCTTTTCACACTTAACGATCGTTGCAACATGGTCGCATGATCCGAATTCGGACGCTTGGCAACTGACTCCTATATATGACGGTTGCAGTGTCCCAAGGTCAGTAATTCCCCTTTGGCGACCAAAGTCCATGGGGAAGCTAGATTCACTTAACTACCATGCTTGCCAATTTAATAACTGCAGTGAATCACTTAACAACGGTGGCAAGAAAGGTGGTAGAATGGAGCAAAGCTCCCTTAACCAATGTTTCACTTAGCCGCAGAAAGTTTGGGCTCGGATGTGGCTGCATTTACTACGTCGAGGAGGAGGAAGAGGAGGAGGAGGAGGAGGAAGAAGAAGAAGAAGAGGAGGAAGAGGAGGAGGAGGAGGAGAAAGAGAGCGAGAGAGAGAGAGAGAGAGAGAGAGAGAGGAAGGGAGACTGAGGAGGAGAAGAAGAGAGACTTTTTATCTCAGCCACCCGTTCTGGAGAGAGGAATTTTGGAAGGGATTCCTGCGGCGTTGCTGTACAGCTGATAGCTACAAATCTTCCTTTTTTAACATCGTCCCGTATAAAACGCCAGCCCATCGTTCAGCCACATACAGTATGTGCACATGTGCTTCGCATTCTCCTCTCCTCAGACATCCCAGAAGCATTTCAAAGCGCAACCTTGAAAGCATTCACATCATCGCTGTTGCATGCCAAGAAAGTAGCTCACCAGCCACGGCTCGGTTTTGGTCGTAAGTGGAGGATTACCTGTATTAGGACCAAATTCAGACAGGCGTCAATATTAGCCTGTCTCGATGAACAGAGGAAGGTAACAACGCCACCTCGATATACACAGACAGGCCTTAAGGGCCACAGTTTTGAGCCCAAAATTCCTGTTGCTAAGTGAGACGGGCTCTGAAGTGAGTTTTGCCCCATTTTATGACCTTTCTTGCCACGGGCGCTGAATGAATCACTGCAGATATTAGGTCGGCAACAAGGTTGTGAACTGAATCTGGCTTCCCTTGACAAAAAGTTGCAAAAGGAGACTCTATGTATCCCTAGGACACTGCAACCGTCATAAGTACGAGTCAGTTTCCAAGCATCTGAATTTTGATCACGTGACCCTGGGGGTGCTGCAGCGGTCATAAGTGTGAAAAATGGTCTGTCAGGATTCCGGCAGTGAGCTCCATTTAAATAATGAGTCTCGAGCCAAACTTCAAAAACTTTAAAAGGATTTATTGGGAGCTAACATGTCGGCACTGCCGGGTGTAGCCGGCTCTGGGACACATCATTCACTGTCACCCTTGACCCTGGATTTTCCCCCACCCCCTGGGTGTATCGTAATTCATATTCTCCAATGGGACACATCCATAGCCCAGAGTCATCCGTCATGCTCTCCAGTTAGAATTTTGCACGGCAGAAACTTCAGTCACCTAGTTACTATCTCTGAAAAACTATTTATGGAATGCGCTTTCGATTTCCAAGCTGCTGCACTACTCTTTCAAAACCCATTTCCCCTCCCTTTCTTTGGCAACTCTCAAAAGACCATAGAAATATTTTAGGAGTTGACATTCGGCTCCCCTCACTTCTTAAAGGTGACCTGTACAACACGAAAAGAAAACAGATTTATTGCAGGTATAGGACTTAGGGTTGCGAAACACACACCCCGACTTGGTTGGGTTTTCTGCATGCAACCTTGCCACAAGGCGATCGGCTTGAACGTTCCTACTCTTTACCCAAGATGCCTCTGATAAGGGCATCTTATTAAACTTGATTAAATATTGGAGTTGTCTCCTGTGCTACCTCGAATCGAGAATTCGCTGTACCTCATCATGGGTTTGGCCCCCATGACCAGGGGTCTGGGGCCCTGACAGGGTCCTAAATCCTTTTTGCCAGTGCCGTTGTAACTCTTTAAGTGAATTGCTGTAATTCAAATACCCCCTGCATGTATTTCTATGTGTGGACACTTAACACAAGTGGCGTGTTTAGAGAAATAGGTTTCAATAGGGGGACCTATTACCACAGCACACAGCCTTCACATTTTCCACATGGGGAACTCTGGAGACAATATGATCCTTGGTTTATGGCCCGCAAATGATTCCCATGCCCAGATTGTGCGAGTTGCAGGCTCTTTACGTTGTGATCTCCATTGTGGGAACGACAAGCGGGGGCTTTTCCAGACCTCCAAGAGTTGTTCCTCCTGGCCTGGTTGACCAGCTTGGAAGATCCGTGAAAATATAAACGAGTGACTTAGTGAATCCAGGGACCAGCTTTGGTTGGACTGAATCTCACACAGACACACACAACATCGCCCTGCCAAAATGCTAATTGGTTCCCATCAAACATTAAAAAGGGGGCAGTGTGGTGGAAGGAAAAGAGCTTTGGCGAAATTTCCAGACGTATTTTTATGAAATGTGCGTGCATGTGCGTGCATGTTCATCCGAGACCGCATGTTTCCTAGGGGCTTCTCCAAATCCAGAGGATTTTCCACATTACAGGGAAGGGAAAATACAGGAAGACATTAAAAAGCGAAGAAATGAAAACAAGATGTCCATGGATTTTTTTTTATTTTTGATTTTTTTTAAAAAAAAACGAGGTGGCCATTTGTTTCCAACTAGTTCTGCAGCTTACATCAGTTTCTTCACCCTGAGCGCTCTTCTCATGTTAGCAGTCCATTTATTCTACATTTGGAATACGTTGTCCCTTGTTGTTATTTCGATTTATTGACTTTCAGGGAAGGAATGGCAAAGTGAAGAAAGTGGAATTGATGAGTGGCAGAACAGAGAGAGCCAGGAGGTAGAATTTGTCCATTCCACTCTGGACAAGGTACTAAGATCACTCTGTAAAGCCTTAGTAAGACCACGCCTAGAATACTGCGTCCAGTTTTGGTCACCAAAAGAGGTTGAGGCTCTGGAAAGAGAGCAGAGAAGAGCAACCAGGATGATTTAGGGGACTGGAGACTAAAACCTACGATGAACGGTGGCAGGAACTGAGCATGGCTAGTCTAGGGAAGAGAAAGACCAGGGGAGACAGATAGCAGCCTTCCAATATTTGAGGGGCTGCCACAGAGAGGAGGAAAGGGTCAAGCTATTCTTCAAAGCACCCAAAGGCCAGAGAAGGAATAATGGATGGAAACTGAACAAGGAGAGATTCAACCTGGAAATAAGGAGAAACTTTCTGACAGTAAGAACACTCAACCCATGGAACAGAAGTTGCCCTCGAAAGTTGTGGGAGTTTCATCCCTGGAGTCTTTCAAGAAGAGATTGGACTGCCATTTGTTAGAAATGGTGTAGGGTCTCCTGCTTGGGTGGGGTGGGGTGGGGGTTGGACTAGATGACCTACCAGGTCCCTTCCATCTCTGTTAATCTGTTAAATCCGACAAGAAGAAGAATGGAGATTGCTCACAAGTGCTCCTGACAGTTACGCCTCGGGAGAAGACCTCCAGGCACGCTTTCAAGTGTTGTGGGGTGAAATTTCAGGAACCAGAGACGCAAGGGGTAGCTGTGAAGTATTTGCAGTCCTGGAGTCAGGGATGATCTGCTGAGACCAAACAGCAGCCAAAGGTCCCAGATCCATGTGTGCAAAATAAATTAAGGTTTTTCTGTGTGCAGAAGCTGGGAGGCGCCTTCGTTCGGCCTCATAATCGATTTTCCTTTTCATAAGACCTGTATAAATGTAAGCGTATTTTATGGGTAGCTCCCGTGACCGTTCTGGATCTCCCTGTCCCTTACAGGAGGAGGATGAGAAGATCATCCACGAAATTCAGAAGGAAGCGGAAGAAGAACAAAAGAGAAAGAACGGAGGTTGGTTTAAACTTCGCGTGGGTAGGATGGATAAGAACGGCAAAGCTGCGTCAAGCGGGGGACGTTTCCCTTGACCAATAAAGGAGAATAATAGAGCTCAGGGTTGAAATGAGGGGACCCTGGGGGCTCTCTGAGCTGGGTGGTTTTATCGCAGACATTTCATGACCCAACAAGGTAACATCATCAGTGCTGGAAGGGAGTGGGGTTTGTGGAGAAGAGGAGGAAGGGAAGGGAAGGAGAAGGTGAAGAAATGGAGGAGGAGGAGGAGAGGAGAGGAGAAGGGAGAGGAGAGGGAAGATGGTGGAGGAGAAGGTGAAGAAATGATGATGGACAAGGAGAAGGGAAGAAAGGAGTAAGAGGAGAAGGGAGAGGAGAGGGAGAAGGAAGATGGAGGAGGAAGAGAAAAGAAGGAATGATGATGGAGGAGAAGGAAGACTGTGGGGTCCTTGGTGCTCTCTGAGCTTGGTGGTTTCTTGCAGA